CAGTCCCAGCCCGGGCTTTACAGCCACATGGAGGCCAAATGTACCACCGACAAGTCCCACAGAAACAGAGAAGCCCCGGCTCAGTCGCTCAGGTACAGTCTCATTTTAAGGGTCTTTAGGAGACCGATTAACCCTCTGAACCCCCAAACCTGCTGGTGGGTTTGAACGCCATGTTTTCTGGACAGAAGAAGGCAAAATTACAGCATTTATCAGTCAAAAACTGTAAAGACTGAAAACTCGTCAGCTTTTCGGGCCTCACACGGTCCAAAGTTTAAAAATCCCTTATGTTTAAAAAAAAATTCACCAAAAATAAGGTTTTAATGCTGATTAAATTCTGTAAAAAAAGAAAAATTCTGCACTTCTCAGCGAAACCAGGAAGCCATTTGTGATTCATCTGCGACCAACAGTCGGGTAACAAAAATTCTGGGACTTTTCAGCTGAACAACAGGCAGTGTTCACAGAGAGGTGTGGAGACAAACGAAAAACAGAATTTAGAAGAAGAAAAATCTATAAAGCTAAAAACACAAATAATAGCTGGTTTTCAACTTTCAGAAAAGACTTTAAACGTGTGTTCTGTCAGCAAACAAATCTACATTCAATTTTATTTTAATTGCCAGAAAAATCAGATTACAAACAGATTCTGTCAAAAAGAAGAAATTCTGCACTTCTTGGTGCAACAGTGACGCCAGGAGAGACTCATCCAGGACCAACAGTCACAAGTAAAACTCTGGGACTTCTCAGCTGAACTGCAGGCAGTGTTTACAGAGATCAGACGAGTAAAACTGTTTTAGAATGTGAGTAGAGCCACCATCCCCCCAAATATTGGTCATATTTTGGTAAAATGAGTCATCTTAGAAAAATATAATTCATGGTTTTATAAATGTGCAGCACATCCCAGACTTATCAGGACTTATATTGAATTAACGGGTAAATTTCAAGGCACTGTGTCCTTCAGAGGGTCCTTGACTAAGTTCCAAGGCATCCCAGGACCAGCTATGAGCAGCTGAGTTCAGCTCCAGGAGAACTGATCAGGATCTGGCTGCTTGAACACAAACAGGAGGTGAAACATCGGATCAAATGAAACTGTGTCTGCAGTTGTGAGTTAATAAACTGTCAACCGGCTGCGCTGCAACTCAAAACAAGCACATTTAATACGGACAAACTTTCTTTTTAATATCATGACGTGAGATTCTTGCAGGACAACATCTGTCCCACTGAGCTCACGTCTATTTCGGGAATCAACACTCTCAGATCGAGCAGGAACAGTAAGCACACGCTCTATAAAGCTGTTGTTTTTCAAAGAATAACCAACATTTGTCAGTTTTGGTCAAACACCATAAAACCACGACTACGATCACTTTATAATATTTATTATACCGTCATGTGCAAAACAAAAGCTCCTCTGTGTTCAATAAATATGCATTTCTATAAATGAAACGTTGATCAGTTGCTCAGCGGACGAGGAAGCCGTCTTCACCGACAGATGAGATGTTTTTACAGCAGCCACACATGTTCTGGATGCAGCCACGAGTCTGTTTTTGAGGAGGGAAATGTGAAAACTCTGCTCTCACTCCATAACAAAGTGTTTGCATCCGGCTTTAAAAGGCCAAATCTTTGCCTTTTTTCCGCTACAGTGTGATTAAAATAAAGCTGGAAATCCCTGCACACTCGAGCCTTTAGTTTTATACTTGTCCTTTTTATGCAGGAATTCCAGCAGATAAACATCATTAAAATTTATCTTATTGTGTCACATGTGCTATCACATATAATTATTAGGACATATTTTGTTCCTGGAATCCTCAATAAGTCACTGTATTTATTTGTCATCATCATTAACTGATGCTGAAGCAGCCAATTCCAAGGTTGATCCTGCAACACTCTTCCTTCGCCACGTACTCCATTCAAATACCGCCGAAATTAGTAATTTTCCTCGTTTTTTGTTGATAGAAATGGACAAATTCATAATATTTTAAGTACTTTCTGAATCTCCGTGATGTTCTGAAAAATTCGGCTTTCATACAGAAGTAATTATCGTCAACGTTTAAATCTTTTTGAAATTATAGCATATAAACATGTTCACACTTTAGCGAGTTTGCAATCTTCTTTATAAACTACTCACGTAATTACCTAACATTATTAAGTCATATTTTGTTACTAAAATTCTTAATATGACATTGGATTTATTTATATTAATCACTAACTGATGTTAAGGCAGCTAATTCACAACTTGTCCCAGCAAAACTCCTACTTCGCAACGTACTCCATTCCAATTTCGCCAAAATCAATAATCCTCTCGTGTTTTTATTGGTTGCTATGGACAAATTCACAATATTTTAACACTTTCTTAATTTAAATAATGTTCTGAAATATTCGGCTTACGTGTAAAAGTGATTATCGTCGTCTCAGGAGTCAAATTTTAGGTCTTTTTTAAAGGCTCAGACTGACAGAATTCTAGCATGTAAACACGTTTAAAGTTTAGCTAACAGTATGCTGTCTTCTTTAAAAACTAGCTAATACTACTAATAAGCTATCAATTTACACTATTAGTCCATGTTTTGTTCATGGAATCATTAATATGTCACTGCATTTCACTCCAATCATCATTAATTCACGCTGAAGCAGCTTATGCACACGTTGATCTAGCGGCACGCTTCCTTACGTACTCCATTCAAAACCCACCTAAATCAATAATTAGCTCCATATTTATTGATAACAATCGACAAATACACAAGAGTTTATATACGACCTGAATCCTCATGATGTTCTGAGAATTTCGGCTCACTTATACAAGCGATTACTTATTGCATTGTCGTCTCAGGTGTGAACTGTCACCCAGGACAGCAGCAGTTGTGGACATTCAACAGCTTCTGGACAAACACAGCTGCAGCTAATAAAACCAGGTTCATAATGGCTCCGTGTGATCCAGCTCAGCAGCCTCCTGCTGTTAAATCAAACGGAGCTCCACTTGTTATTAATCTTATTAGCTGCAGCTGTGTGGCGCTGAAAAGTCCAACTAAAGGGTATTAAAATAATTAGCTGGAGATATTAATTTCTGGAGATTTTCAGAGGAGTTAAAGAACACAACAGGCCTCAGACGAAGCTAATGGACGCTTCAGCTAAAATCAGGCTTTTCTTCCTTTTACATGCACAAGCACAGTCAGATGCATTAAAAAAATAAAATAAAATCAGGTTATTTATTAAAAACAAGGGCTTTTTGTAGCAGCCTCATTTTCTATTTTTCCCACAAAACTTCATTATTTTTGTCACTATCAGCCTTTATTTGTGTGTTTAAAATCAGTAGAAGACTGAACACGATAGAAGTTAGGATTGTCACTGCAAAAACTTGAAAATGATCAGGTTAAAGCGTTGGACGGGTGCATGCACGTCGGTGTGTGATGCACGTGACGATGTTCTGGCCGGACTAGACTCTGTGTTTGTGGGTCGCTGCAACTTCCACCATTAGCTTTGGATGCTTTGCACACTTTTTGTTATGATCCGACCAAGTTTGAGGAACATTGACCAAGAAAGTCAAAATATAAATGACAAGAAAAACACACATTTTTTTTAGCAGTTAATTCAAAATGGCGGACTTCCTGTCGGGTTTAGGTCACGGCACCTAGAGACCTTTTTTTCAAGGCTTGTGATGCTGAACGTCGGCCGAATTTCACGCATCTCAGTGAAACGTACATCCGGAGCTGATTGGTTGAAAGTTGCTAGGGGGCGCTATGGAGCCGTTTTGCCACATGCAGACCTGAGTCGCATACGGTTTGTTTCGTTTCGCTGATTGGGATGTGTGAGCCAGTTTTGGTGATTTTTTGGGCATTCCTACTTTCTACTTCCTGTTCGAAGGCGAAGGAAGTCGTGATCCTTGAAAATGACCAAAAATAACCAAAAGTCCCACAATTGATTCAAAATGGCGGACTTCCTGTTGGGTTCAGGATGTGGCTCCAAGAGGCTTTTTTGTGCGCCCTGAGGTGTCGCAGGTGTTTACCAAATTTCATAGCTGTCGGTGAAACGTGCTGCGGGGGCTCGTTTTTCCAAACGCTGCAGGGGGCGCTGTGGAGCCATTTTGCAAAACACAAGTCCCGTAAAATATCACATTTTTCGCCACTTCGGAGGTGTGTGCAAATCGTCACGCGTCTTCGAGCATCTTTAGCCCTTTGAAAATGTGATTCATTTGAAGAAGAAGAAGAAACTAAGTTGAAATCAGGTTTTTCTTCCTTTTACACGCACCGTCAGCTGGAGCAGCTCTTAATTCCTAACTAAGATCAGGTTATTTATTAACAACATAAGCCTCATTTTCTATTTTTCCCACAAATCTTCCTTATTTTTCCCACAAATATCGGTTATATTTGCATCCGATGGCTTTAAAAACATTAGAAAGCTTCCTGAACAACATTATGTTTAAGATTCCCACTGCAAAAACTGTAAAATTCATCAGAAAATTAGATTTATTTCAAACTAGAGTTGTCTAAGGACAGATGAGAGAAGGATGTGCGAAAGCCTCAAGTGTCGCTGGACTCTGAATTTATACTTTTCACTGAAACAAAACGCGACATGGATGTTTGTAGCTGCAATGTGACAAAAATAAATGTTTTTTTTAAGAGTCAATTGTCTAAATATCTCTTTGTTTTTACAAATAATGACAAAAATCATGTTTTTCATAATCAGGGAAGTTCCAGTTACTTTACTGTCATAAACTCATCCAATGTTAGTTTAAAACATCAACTTCACCTTGTGTGTACGGCGTAAATGTGATATATCATCTACTCACATACTTTTTCCAGTGAAATTAGTCTTTTTCTGAAGTCAGAACTGCCCCAAAACTTACTACTGTGAGCTCTTCGGCTCGACCATGGAATAAACTGTTCAGTTCTCAGTCATGTCGGGATCTTTTTCGTCTTCATCCATCGGTTAATTTTGCTTTACGGCTCATTTGTTAATTAATTCCAGTTTGGTCCCTGCGTGCCTGGAGGTGATTTCAGTAAATGCCCACTCACTTTTTAAGAAGTCACCGTGCGCGCCGGGGAATAAACTCCATCCATTGGTGAAAACGAGTGAATCCAGCCTGACAGAATGAGAATTTTCCAACGTTTTCCCGTCCTGGCAAAAAAACCAAAAAATAAAAAGAAAGAAAAAAAAGAAAAGTGGAGCGAGGAAGGAGATACAAAGACGAGGAGTGATGAGGACGGACTGCTGCTGCAGGCTGAGTAAAGAGCAGTAAAATGACACATGCAGGGAGGAGGGAGGAGAGAGCTGAGGTTTGGGAGGGAAACCCAGAGACTAAATGACATGCATGAACAAATACAGTAGTTACACTGCCTGCAAATAACCGTCTTCAAGCTCATAAAGTCAATACGCTGCTTCTATCAGCTGAAGCCCGAAGTGCAGGTTGGAAGAAGTTGGATGAAAATGAGCCGCCTCTTTAGTGAATAATGCGATCACAGATTTAGAAAAGCTTAATTAATTTGCCCAGATGCTGTGATGTGAGAGAACAGGAGGAGGTCAGGAAAAGGTGATTAATGTCAGACGAGGGAAGGTAGAAATGTCCGAGTCTGCGCGCCGTATGAATAGATGCAAAGATCTATAAATCAACGGCGCTCAAGAGACGAGCAGAAAACGTTCAAAGTTCCTGCCAGAGTGTGATTCCCAGAAAGAAAAGGAGAGAAAAGGCTGATTGTCTGCCCTCTATTGGTGGAAAAAGATCAGAGTGAAGGTTGTTGAAATGTCACCAGAAACACTCGAATCCTTCATCACATAAAGTCTGTTTTATGTGTTACAGGACTATCTGGTGCTTTAAAAGTCTCATGTTTACATTTTTTCACACGCTTGCTCTAACTGGCTTCATCTCATCGAGCTGTAATGAAAATATTAAACTTTGTCAATATAAAAGAAAGTGCTGACATGTAAACTGGTTTATTTTTCAACATTTTTTTAAAACTTTGTTCTCAAAAAAATTTCCATGCATTACGATTGTGTGTGAATGTACTGAAGAAGTGCATTAGAAAGTCATAATTAGGTGGAAAAAACTTTAAAAAACACAAGTACTTTGACAGGAGGCAGTATTTTGGGTGGAATGCACCTTGAAAACCACAAGACATTGGACAGAGAGTTGGATTTTGAGTGGAATACGCCTTTAAAACTTCAAGTATTTGAACAGAAAGTACTATTTTTTGGTTGAATAAACCTTTGAAAGCTTAATTCATTCGTTGGTAAATGCTATTTGAGTGGAATAAACCTTTAAAACCATTGGGAATTGAACAGAGAGCAGTATTTTGGGTGGAATAAACCTTTAAATCATGAATGGTTTAACAAAAAGTAGCATGTTGGGTGGAATAAACCATTAAAGCTATGAGTACTGTGACTGAAAGTCGTCTTTTGGGTGGAATGAACCTTTAAAATTACAGGTTTTTGGACAGCAAGTCATATTTTGGGTGAATTTAGGTGCAAATACGAACAACAAGTGGCTGTACATACTACAGATATTGACCTACAGATGTAGAAAGATGTTCCACCATCAGCTGTAGAAAGATGTTCCACCATCAGATGTAG